AGATCTTTTTTTTTTTTTTTTTGCAGGAAGGAGCACAATTGAGCAGACACAAATTTTTCAAAAAATTTTAGACAAAAACAGAAGATTTGAAATGGGTCTGTAATTAGGACTTGTAAGTTCACTAGGACCTAGTTGTGGTTTCTTTATTTGAGGCTTAATAACCACTAACTTTTGGGATGTGACCTAGAAATAATAATAATAATAATAATGAGAAGTGGTTCTTCTGCTGCAGGTAACAACTCTTTCAGTAATTTAGTGGGTACAGGATCTAATAAACGTGTTGTTGGTTTAGATGCCGTGATACGTTTATTTAGCTAACCTATAGTTGTAAAGCACTGCAGTTTTTCTTTGGGTGCAATGAATGAAGCTGAAGTATTAGACGCTGTCGATTCTACATTTGTTATTATATTTCTGATACTATCTATTTTTATCAGTGGAGAAATTCACAAAGTAATTACTGCTAAACTGGGCAATATTGACTTCGGGTGATGTCTGATTATTTGTTAATATAGCCACTGTGCTAAAACAATAAAATTGGATTGTTGTGGTTATTTTCTATGAGTTTGCAGATATGCTTGGCCATGGCAGCATTTATAGCAAGATATACTGTTTTTCCACCCAATTCTAAAATCCTGCAAGTGAGTTTTTCTCTGTTTGTGCTTATGGGATTGTGGGTTTCTTTCTTGTGAGAATTTGTGTTACTGTTGTACCATGACTCAGTATGTTTCTCTTTAATTTGACCTTTCTTAATTTGACGGAGCAAAAGTTCGTAACATACCAGAGAAAACAATGCCCATATTACTAGTCATTTCGTCTAGCTTGGGAAACAAGAAATGACATAAAAGTCCAACACAACACAAGACAAATAATGTAACAATTTATGAGTAAAAATAGTTTCTACATTAAATTTTATTTTGTGTATACTGTTAAAAAAAATTTTTTTCAAAGTTGTAAATAAAGATTATTGGAGTAGGTTTTTACAAGAACATACTGTTTCAGTCTTTCTGCTTAATAATTCCGTGATTTAATTCAATACTACTTGCCGTTTCTTTGTAAATATTTTTTTTTTTTAAATATTAGCAATTTCTGAAATTAGAAAGAGTGAAAATTTTCATCTATTTTTTTTTCAGTGTACATGATTTGTAGTTGTAGTTAAAATGTGTAAAGAGAAGTAGTGTTGCAATGTAATTGACTTCAATGCAGTTGACTGAAATGAAGTAGCTGCCAGTAGTCATTTGGTCTTGAGTTTATATCTCATAAATCCATCTGTAATAACCCAGCTTTCATGCAAAGCCTCTCATTACCTGATGACATTGATGGATCTCCTTGATTTGAAGCCCATTAGGCAAACGCAAAAGACATGATGGATGAGCATGACAAGCCAGCTAAACTCATTGGTTGATGCTAACCAGTGATATTCAAGTAAAGTTCCAAAAGCTCCCGTCTCTATTTCCTTTCTCAGCGGAGGTCCGGACAATACTTTTCCATTTGGAATAGTTATACATTTTGAAATTTTAACTTAAAAAAAATTGAAATCCTAAAAACAGTCAATAAACAATCAATAATTTTTCATTTGGACATTCTCCTGCTGAGAAGTAGCTGATAAAATTGTAATAAAAATGTGAGTGCTCAAGAGAAATTTTTCCTATCGGTCTTATTTGACATTCAATATCTCAGGACAGAAAGAAGGTAGGAGGAAAATTCTTTTTTGATGATGTTCCCCAGCATGTTAGCTGTAATTTGTATCTGTAATTTTGTGGTGATAGCATAAAGTATACAAAAGTTACAGCATTTTTGTAACAAAATAGGCCTTTTTGTTTAGCTCTTGACTCCCTGAAGGAATTTTAAAAACTGTTTTCTGAGTGCCGTAAACAAAAATAATGACTCATAACTCCAAGACCGTAGCAAGCAGAGTCAAAAGGTACGTATCGTTTGATAGAAATCTTTCTATATTTTTAGGTGGGGGGGGATCTTTGCATTTGAATATTCTCATGTTGAGAAATAGATGATAAAATGTAAGAAAAATTAGTGTGGTCAAGGGAAATTTTTCATTTCATTCTTATTTGACGTTCAACATCTCATGAAATAAATAAGGTAGGAGAAAAATTATTTTTTTTGGTGATGTTCCCCAACATGTGTGCTGTATGTGAATTAACTTTTGTGGTGATATCATGAAGTAATCAAAAGTTACAGCATCTGGAACCAAGGTAGCCCTTATCTTAGCACTTGACAGTTTTGAAATTGTTGTTTTGAATTTGATGTAATGCCTCACTCAAGTTTAGTCAAAGCCCTAAACAATTATACGTGTTTTATTG